GTGTGTGTGTGTGTGTGTGTGTGTGTGTGCTTCATAGCTTGTACAATATAAAAACAATAAATGTCAAGTAACAGTTAGAAGACTCTGTTTTGTAAGTCTCATCTTTAGCCACCAGGGGTCAGTACAATCTGCTGAAACAGGAAACCTTCAACCACACTGGATTTACACTGCTTGCTTGTCTTGGTTTACAGAGCTGAAAAACAAAAGTCAGTCAGTTTGGACGTATTTTAACTTGAACATATTTAGGATAAATGTTTWTTTAAAGGGACTTTTTGTTCTTTCTTTGCCTGCAGAATGTTTTATCTGCGTTTACCTCCCAGGCTGTGCAGACTTCTCKCTGATTGTGATTGGCTGAACGTCCAATAAAATATAGTTGAACCGGCAACTTGTTGCACAAAAGGCAATTGATTTTCTTTTAAACTCATTTGTGAATGGAATGGCGATCGATTTGGATTCCTTATTTCAATCTGGCCCTGATGAATGTCACGCTGCGTGCATCAGTAGTGTGTGCAGGTGAGACGAAATGCATGAGCTCGCTGACRGTCTGCTCTGCAGCGTTTGATGTGAGCAGAACATTTCAAAGCAGCCAGTCAATCTGCTGCTCTCCGRTGAGAGAAGGAAATTACATTTCAGAGAAACTTGAAAACTTGATCACCCAACGGTGTCTGGGTGCCGCAACTCCGACAACATTTTCTCACACTTATGAATGCGATTGTGTTCGGGCTGCTTGTCARACATCCGCTTTCATCTCTTCAAAGAGTTTTCAACATGCTGCTGAATAATTTCCTGTTTTAGCCTTCCAGAAAGAACTGGTGAAGAACCAACTCCTGTGGGGTTTTTGTTCTGTTCTTACAGCTAACGTTCACACATTCATATATACTTTTTTATTATTTCTCCAAATTTATGACTAAATTATACTAAAAAGAGTTGAAATGCATATTGCAGTACTCTGTAAATATATGCTGACCATAAATAAGGCATTATGTAATAAAATATATGTAAGATATTTACATTTATATGACTGAGGAAACAAGAATCGTAAAATCCTGGGTGATCATTAAATATACATTAATATGATCCAGATGGTTGTTAATCATTTCCTGTCTGCTCTCCTGATGAACCTTATCCCCAGGCTCTGACCGCGTACGGCAGCTTGCAGAAAACACCGTCTACTTCCGCACAAGGCTTCAGGAAATGGGTTTCATCATCTACGGCAACGACGACTCCCCGGTCGTACCCATGATGCTCTACATGCCCGCCAAGATTGGGTGAGCCTGGATCCATGCAGCTGAGTCTAAACTGTAACCCCAGCACCACCTGTCCTCACATCATTTTATCTGTCCCATCAGAGCGTTCGGCAGAGAGATGCTGAAGAGAAACATCGGGGTGGTGGTCGTGGGCTTCCCTGCCACGCCCATCATCGAGTCGCGGGCACGCTTCTGCATCTCCGCCGCTCATTCCAAAAACATGCTGGACAGGGTGAGCTGACGCTACTATTGTGATTCGTTTCCCATCCAASTCATCTCAACTTTGCCATGCTTCTCCTCCTGCATACTTCGTCCTAGAGCTGCCATTGTAATTTATATCTGTAAAGCCCCTGTGCCAAATGATGGCTATGCCTTTTGGTGCCTGTAAAACTTATAGTTTGAAATATTAATGTTTAATAATTTATAATGGCAGTCAATGGAGCCTTGTATTGGTTCAATACTGCCCCCTGCTGCCTCTGTGCAATATGGTACAGCACCATAGTTTCATAATATTTAAACTCAGTAGTTCAGTGATTACAATATTAATATGATTGTATTTTGATGTTTTACTGTAATACTGTCATTATGTTGTCCTATTGCTGTAATATATTGCACTTAAGTGTCAATAATTGCATTGGCAAGGTATACTTTTTCTGTATATATACAATCCAATCCCTGGGATTGTCCTCTGCCACATCTCCTATAGTCTCATGATGAGCACTGTGGGCTCTCATGCGGGAGATCAGGGTTCAAATCCAACTAACGCTACTTTAACAAAAATCTCTTCAAACTTCATATTGTCACACAATTACCTTAATTACAAACATCTGCTGACGTGACAGGCACAAGCTGAAATAGAAAACACATTTGAACTTGGTCAAAGTTCATTCTGCAATTCCAATGCTGCAGGCAAAGCCATGCTGCAATGACATGCTACATGGCAATGCACACTTGTTTTTACATCGTAAAAACCCATGTCTAGTTTTATTTGATCTTACAGGGTTCCCACAGGTCCTTGAAATCCTTGAAAGTTTGTGAATTTGGAAAAAATGATTTCGAGGCCCTGGAAAGTTTGTGAAAACAGCCAAAAATTACACTTGTCCTTGAAAGTTCTTGAATGTTTTTTTGGGGATTGAAGTTCTCTATTCAAACAACTGATTTTCATCATCTGTAATAAAATAACAAACTTAAATTTGTTGCATTGATAACTCAGGATTACAGTAAACTGACAACAAATAACGTGAGCCATAATCATAGTTTTACCCAATCAAAGCAGAGTAGGGCGGGTCGTTCTTTCTGAGCCCAGGTGAGAGCACCACATGTCCTCACCGAGCGTCTGGACCTGTTCACATCTCCTCCTCCCAAACTGAGCTGCCGAACCTCCCAGGATATAATTACATGTCCATGTATTGTAGATATGAATGTAGGGTGTACATTTAATCCACTTTCTTTCATCGATTCTGACTCAGCAACTTCTATGTTGTTCAGTTTTTCATTGAATTTACATGATATTAAACTGTTTATTGGTAACATTCTGGGGTAGCAGTAGGTAATTGCCGTCATGCATGGTTCCTGAATTTGAGAAAATTGGTACTGGAAAGTCCTTGAGAGATCCTTGAATTTGATGTTGACCAAGATGTGGGAACCCTGATCTTAACCAGATACTATCTCTCAGGGTCACAGGGCAGTCACTGCGGGAGGGGCGGGGTCGCAGGACAAACAACCATTCATGCTCACTCCCACTTAGGGACTGTTTAAAGTCACCAATTAGCCTAGTGACCGAGGTTTGATCTAGTGACCTTGAGCTAACAGCTTTCACTCTGAGTTATTAACTGAAGGAAGAGACATTTGTTGCCTAAAGGCAGAGCAAAAAAGGTTTTAGCAAAATATCTAATAAGTCTCAAACTCTCAGAAAGTACTCATTGTCTCTACATCTACAACTGATTGACTTTTGGAGTTACCCTAATTTAAGATGGCCACCACAGCTAATCTACATTAGTTTACATAAAAAATGTATATCTCAATGAATTTCATAGACACAGATGTTTGCTGTAGTAGTTGCTGACAGTCATCCACAATATGTGTTCCAACCACTAACAGATCCTGTGAGAAATTACAATATCTCGTTAGTAGGGATGGGTTTTGTTAAGATTTTATTGATACTACTTTACGGCTGGACGATTAGTTGATCGCGATTATTGATCGAGAAAAAATTTAGGTCGATCGCGGTGATCAGCTGTGAGCCATTTCATTGATCAAACATGGCGGAAATGTGCGCGACAACAGCCAATCAGAATCTACCTTCTCTTCTAGGGGTGCACAATGTTTATCGGCCTGATAGTTATCTATGACGTCATACTTATCGGTCCGATATCATAACAAACAGAACCGATAATATATGTACATGTTTGCCAGGGTGGCGATGAGAATGCGTGTTTATTTTTATCCTTTTTGGTCAAGACGCTTCCGTCTGGCACGACCCGAGCAACGTTCAAGTTGTGCCGGAAAAAACAACTTTCTCACTAGAAAAATAATTAGAATACTCCGTGCTGAAAAATCATGTATGTTACACACAAACTTTATAAATATAAACAAAAGTTTGACTTTTAAATTTGAGAACATGTAAAGTGCGTTACCTCCTGAATGCAGCACAAGGTCCGTCTGCTAAAATGCTAACAACAACAACAAGCTAGCGTTCAAGAACTCGTCGGGACTTAAATCATTGCTGAGGCTTTGGACAATTCCAAAATAATTGCCGGAGAGGACTCAGATCTCAAGCACTTTAATGATGGAAATGATGGAGCTCGACAAGCAGCCGTTCACCCTCGCTAAAAACCGAAGCTTTTATCTCCGTTAGCCACGGTTTACCATGCCGAACAGCTGCTGTCTGTGTCTTCCTGTAAGTATGATGCGGTCGTAATGCATTCACACTCTCAGAAGCACTGTTTCAGGTAGAAAAATGTTTAAAATCATATATGAATAACAATAAAAGCAAACGTACTTTGAATCTAACTTATTTTAAGAACCGATAACCGATAACTTTCTCCTTCTAACGGCCGATAACCGATAATAACTGATAACATGCCAGGA